GGCTGTGGATGCCCCATCCCTGGAGGCATTCAAAGCCAGGCTGGATGTGGCTCTGGGCAGCCAACGGCACTCATTGCTCTCTAATCTAGGATTACATTTTCTAAAGCCACCCAAACGTGGCCTGGCTGGTGGGGCGGAACCTGACGCAGGGCTGGGTGCAGATGAGTGCCTGCCGAGATGCAGGAGGAGCCGCATGGCACAGCCGGGCTCCACAGACTCAGTCTGGGGTCGCTTCCAATGCTGCTCAGCCGTTGCCACTTCTTATGAACCACAAATCTTCCCATTTCTCTTACAGCTCTCTAGGAGACAGTTAAATCTGCAAGATTTGTTTTCTGAATGAATTTTCTAAGAGCTTCTATAAGAGATTTTTTCAGGAAGGATTAGTCTTACAGACATTAAAAAGCAGGAAATTGTGGTTTTTTTGTTTTTTTGTTTTTTTTTTTTTTTTTAACAACTGCATTAGGGAGAAAATGTGAAATATTTTGAGAACAGCTTTCCTTCATACGAGAAAGCAGAAGCGCCATTCCTCTCCCTTTCTCACACCATCTGTGTGTATTAACGCTAACTATTTTAGAAACAAAACATCTCTTACATCTTTCAAGCAAGCCAGCCTAACGCAATCCGTAAAACCACCAAGGCAAGCACAGAATCCATATAGAAAAGAGAAAAAGCTTTCTTTTATGCTTTCTTCTAAGCTTCAGAGGCCTAAGAAATCTGCCTGAAGCTCTCCATAGTTCCTGAGGAGTGCAAGGCAGACAGTGCATGAATTCATGTAGATGTCTTTTCGTACATCCAACCCAGTATCTTGTTGCCTGCAGTTACTGTGAGGGAATCATAGAATCATAGAATGGCCTGGGTTGAAAAGGACCACAATGATCATCTGGTTTCAACCCCCCCTGCTATGTGCAGGGTTGCCAACCACCAGAGCAGGCTGCCCAGAGCCACATCCAGCCTGGCCTTGAATGCCTCCAGGGATGGGGCATCCACAGCCTCCTTGGGCAACCTGTTCCATGTTTCACTGCCCTCCGTGTGAAAAACTTCCTCCTAACATCTAACACCTGTCTCAGTTTAAAACCATTCCCCTTTGTCCTATCACTACCCACCTTTGTAAAAAGCTGTTCCCCCTCCTGTTTATATGCTCCCTTCAAATATTGGAAGGCCACAATGAGGTTTTATCTCCAACGTCCTTCGGCAAAGGGCTCAAGAGGTGAACTACCCATACTGTGGTCTGCTTCATTTCACACATTTTAATCTGGTTCTCTCAGTTTCCTCTGGATCTGCAGACAGCCACAGTCATGTGGCACTTGAGTCCATCTGATGATCTCTGCAGTTCATAACTACGTAATAACTGGATAACTAAAATGTTGGCTCTGTTCTCCCAGCATCCTGGAGGAGCGTGACCATAGGCTATGCTCTGCCTTTTGTCACCTGGTTTGAGTCTTCCCGAGGCCCAGGTGTCAGTTCTGCTATAAAAATGCACATTGTGAGTGCTGCTCTGCAAAGGGTTACCAGAGAGGAAATGAGCATTAGCAGCAGTATTATTTATTTCTTCAGAGAGAAATACTCCTGGTGCAGATCAGTTAGATAGCTATTTTTTTCTAAATGCTTCTTTTCCTGAATTATGCTGAACTGACGAGTTTTTCTTTAGAGACTCTAAACCTCTTTAGCTCTGATTTCTGTAACATAGCATAGCCGAACTCAGTTTGTTTCTCCATCATGTGGCATCTGAGCCTTAGCTTCCTTCTCCATCAGCAAAGCACTCTCATTTCCCAATGCAGTGAGTGCAGTACCATGCTGATGCCCAACAGATGAGTGCTTCATTTGAGGGTACTCACTGATCCTTCCTTAAAAGGAAGCTCTCTCTCTTCCTGGGGTTTTCAGATGCTTAATCCTATTCCATGTTGCTGCCTACAAACATCTCATAGTCCAAAGAAAGATGGTTTCAGTGACAGTGATCACTAAGTTGCATAAACAGAAATTCTGAATGTCTGAAATACTTTTTTAGCCCAAGAATCTCAGTGCTTCTGGCTGTGTGAGAGGGAAGCGTTGTCCCTGGGGGCCACATGAGAGCTGTTGGACAGCATGCACCACAAGCAAGAACCACCTGCAGCTGCATGTACAGGAGCAGGAAGGGGACACAGGTTTGGTGTAACTCACGTCCAGGAGCACCATGACCCCAGGAGTCCTCCCTTCCATGGGACACTGCCCTGTGTTCCCAGCAGAATGAGGAACATAGGGCTTGCTTGGGATTGTGAAAGGGCAGAAGCAAAGGCACCTGAGAGCTGCGTCTCACCTGGCTTCCAACAGGTCTGCATTTACATTTTATTTATATGTTTAACAGAAAACAGGTAATCAGCTGCAATATATCTCATAAAACAACAGTTGTAGAACACAGACCATACATTATGTAACACTTATTGTCAGAAAAACTCTGTGTACACAAGCCCGCAAGATACCATGCATGGATGCAAGCACAAAAGATTGCTCCCCAGGGGCTGATCCCAGGGAACTTCCCAAATCCTAGCAGTGCATGATTTTTATGGTTTATATCTCATTCTTCCTTTCTCTGTAAACAGTTTGCTCTGGATGTGTCAGGAGATGCTGTGGTGGGAGGAGGGCTCTGGGCTGTGCACAAGCCATGCCAAGCTTGGCTGGGTGTGATGGGGACATGGGGGTGCCTCTGTCCTGAGGGTGATCTCAGGTCAGGTCCACACAGGTCTCAGGTCACACACAGTGACCTCCAAGACAGGCCCTCCTCCTCTGTTTGCTGCCACTTGTTTGCCATCCTTGACTGAAGATTCATCTGTCCGGAGTGTAAGGAAACCTCCACACCATGCACATGGCTGCTCAGTTCTTCTGTAGGTTTAGGTCTTTGTGAAGTGTGGTCTGGAAGCCCCTCTGGGGAAGCAGGGTCCTCCCTAGGACATAGATCCACTACAACTAATTTTATCTCCTAAATTGTATATAAAACCAAGTAACTCAGTGCAGTGACTAACACAGGGTTAACATCAATGTTATGTTACTCTGTGCAGTTTCCTTTTCCAAACTTCAATGCAGTCCCTTTTTTTTTCATTTGTTGGCAAAACATGGGAATGTCCCAGAGGTGCTTCTGTTGTTGCAGTAGGAATCAGGTGGGGTCAGCATGACTAGGCATATTATTTTCATTTTCAAATTGTTTTATCAGTTCCAGAGCTGAAAAAACTTTTTAACAAGCACAGACCCACAGGTATGGAGCCCTCTTTTTTGCAGATCACCTCCTTACCAGGGACCTGTACAACACGCCACACAATTGCTGCTTTGATTCTTCCACTTTCAGACCATTTTCTATTGCCCCTAAGGCTCAGTCCAAGCCCATCCCAGCCAAAATAGCTCCCATTGAACCGATGTGATTGTGAGCCTGCACAGATGGCAGAGAAACAGGTTTCATTTTGTCACTTGTGCTTTGACACTACAGCCGTTGACTTCACAACTGCCTTTGAGGCAGTCCCAGCTGATGGCAGCCTTGCCTCTCCCAGCTCAGCCCTCCCTTGGCTGCCACAAGTGTCTGTGTGACAGTGACAAATCAGAACAGCCACCAGAACTGGGTTAAAATGAACCCTGCAAGAGTAAGAAAAAAAATAAAACTTTCATTTTAACCCAGATCAGTTCCTCAACCCTCTCCTTCAGGTTGTCAGGGGCAAACAGAAAATGATATGAAGGAGAGTGAGGAGCAAATTATGTGTGAAACGACAGCCTAAGCTGTAGGTGGATGGAGATGATCAGTCACAGCCACCAGACGTTAAGCAACATAAAAACCCCCGTAAGCCTTCAAGTACTTCTGCAGTCTTAAATTGCCATTTCTCCTCCTTGAAACAGCCTCATTTCCCCTCTGCAACCCCTGCTTTCTGATTTCTGCTGGCAGAGGGGGCAGTGACGGTGGTTCAACAGTGCAGGTACGACAGTGCAGGTACTTTTTCATCTTTGGTATCTGATTTTGACTATTTAATTGGAAAACCAAAGGAAGTGCTAAGCTGTCTCTTCCGAAGTGCCATGAGGAAATGGTTGAGGTTGGCGACAGATTTCTGCTGCCAAATACAGCTGCTGCTGCTGGGAGCTGCTTGCTGTGTGTGCTGGAGTCTAGAGACACAGCTCATGCTTTCTGAAAGATATCGCTAGTGATTCCTGCTGGAATTACTGTATGAAATGTGGCTGAAAACCCTCCAGTGTCCTGCCACTGAGCAAAGCACAGCAGGAGAGCCTATTTTTGGGTGTGAGGTGCTCAAACCCCAAGCTGCAGTAGGCAGCTCCTGCACAGTGACCATGTGGGAGCTCACGTTACTCTCAGGTTTCGGAGCCGCTCTCAGTGGTATGGCTGCAAACAGTCCCTTCCTCAGGCCAACTGGATTCTGCAACACCCTTATAAGCCAGGAAGTAACTGAATCTTCCAGACATGCAGAATTCTGCATCTCCAAAAGCAATACAACAAGGGTCCCCTTCATTCTCAAAGGGCAAAGAAAAAAGATGGAGATAAAAAGTAGTGGAAAATGAGAGATGTACCACAAGACTGTTATTTAGGGGTAGGAATTTGTCCTATTATTAGCAGTGAATTTTGGAGAGCACCTGCATTAGTTCTGGATGCTCTGTCTTTGCTGCTCTTTTTATTTACAGAATAAATTGCAAAAAGCAATTTAGGCATTAATATTTTTGATCTGAAAGTGCTAAAGCCTACCAGAAATTTTGACTTTTTTCAGTGTTGGCTAATTTTGTGTTTTGAGTAGGAAGCTTCAACTTCACACCATTTCTACACATGCTCTTTATCTGTTACCCAGCAGTTCAGGCATGCTAAACTTGTAACTGAGACATTCCTCCACTAATCTCTATGGCTTTATGGGGATTTTATTATTGCTCACCTTACTGTAGATCTTGAGAAGACATGGGGAATATCTGAAGTAGCTTAGAATGATTCAATTTGTGAAATACTAGTGGGATGCAGTGATATTTTAACAGTTCCTACCTATTCACCCAGCCATGACTTTTTGCTTGCCAGCAAATGAGCGAAGCGGGGAAGGCAGGGGCAAGGTGAGCTGCCCACAGCCCCTTGGACAGCACCACTTGTCCATCCTTACAGTGAACACGGCAGAAGAGAGCACACAGGCAGAAAAAAGTCTCCAAAAAGCAGCAGCATTAGCAATGTCTTGCACACTGAAGTAGGTTTCAGAGTTGGCAAAGCAGCAGCTGGAGGAGGTAATGACTGGGTCCCACCATTGCCCTCATCTGTCCAGATGCTTTGGCACAAGCTGAGAGGCAGCTGGTGGCTCTGGCATCCTGGTGGGTAAGGCCACACATGCCTGTGCCACCAGCCTGCTCGCTTCTCCTCCCTCAGGAGCAGCAAGGAGGGACAACACATGGCATTATCACAGCATCTTTAACAGAGGCTTGCACACCATTGCCAAGCAGGATCTCTGCTGGATCAGTACAGATTTTACTCTATGGACTGTGCCTGGTGGTTGCTGTTGCTGCTGATGTCAGCTTGAGCTGTACGGGTTCACTGTTTTGCTGTACAACAGAATGGATCCTGACTATCATAGAGTGGACACAGTGCAATCTTCTTGGTACCCATCTTGGACGACTGTATGAAAGCAGCCAGGAAGACTTCAGAGGCAATATCTCTGGAGCAGCCAGCCATCGTGGCCAGCACCACACATGCATGTTTTTCAAGCACAAAGGAGAATTTGGATATGCTGCAGCCAGTCCCTTCAGATGAGATGTGAAAGCAGAGGCCTCCTCCACCAGCGTCGCCTGATGTGCAGCGCGCGGAACCCGTAGCACATCCTGAACTCATAATGAAAATAAGCCAGCATCCAGTTTGCTGCCTCATCTTCCACCAGTCAGCTCCTAATGCCCATCCCAAGTCTGTCCATTGCCGTGGAGAATAGCCGTGACCTTCATCCAAACCATAGCTGCCTACCTGTGCCTGTGCTCAATGGGCCCACCGGAGAAGAAGCGCTGAGCTACTTGGAGCTGGTGTACTTGGTGACGGCCTTGGTGCCCTCGGAGACGGCGTGCTTGGCCAGCTCTCCGGGCAGCAGCAGGCGCACGGCTGTCTGGATCTCCCGCGAGGTGATGGTGGAGCGCTTGTTGTAGTGCGCCAGGCGCGAGGCCTCACCCGCGATGCGCTCAAAGATGTCGTTGACAAAGGAGTTCATGATGCCCATGGCCTTGGAGGAGATGCCGGTGTCGGGGTGGACCTGTTTTAGCACCTTGTAGACGTAGATGGAGTAGCTCTCTTTTCTGCTCTTGTGTCGCTTCTTATCGCCTTTCTTCTGGGTCTTTGTCACGGCTTTCTTGGAGCCCTTTTTGGGGGCAGAAGTGGACTTTGCTGGCTCTGGCATCCTGAGAGCTCCTTTTTCTGGTTCTTGAAGCTGCTCGGAAAAGAACACAAAAAATCACATTCATTTTTATTCTCATATGTATAGTTCTACTGAAAGATGCATCAGTGCCTGTCCAAATCTGAGACAACCACTCCATGACCCCATCCAAGTGTTTTTGAACTGCCACTGAGAACCACACTGGTTTGTGATTATTTTTGTGTTGTTTTCTGCTTAAATCCCCATGATAACTGGCCTTGTCAACACTGCTGAACCTAGGCCCAGCTGGCATCTGCTTAGTAAAGATGGGCTGGGGATGGACATATTTCTGAGAGGAACACCAAAGTTCCAAATAAAACATTAACTGCAGCGTGGATTAAATTAAGTCTTTCTGGAACATGCTGGAGACACTTGGATGATATCACTGCAGCCATCTTTTATGAGGCAGTTTATTTTGTACAGCTACTACAAACTCCAACAGAGCTTTTTGTTTGGCACATGCACAAAAGTTTATTTTGAGAGTGCCCATATTTATGTGGCTATTGTTTTACACCACGTATTATAAAAGAATATAAAAATAACATAATTTTAAGGTAACCAGCTGAAGCACTGAAATCTCTCAGCATGGAATTTAGCAAAAAATATAAAGAATTAGAGAAGCTCAGAGGAGATGTGAGGAATCATGTTTCAGAGAAGCAGGAATGCAGATAGGAGGAAACAAAATGCTTTTGGGCTACACGTTGATTGAGACTATCTTCACAAACTGAAATCATTTCCGGCTATGTGGGGCTTTCTGCTTTGTGGGGAGCAGGCCTCTGTTGGCCAGCCTACATCAAAGATGCTGGATTCTCTCTCTGAGTTTTAATTAATTCCGCCACAGCTTGCAGAGCCTTGACCTTTATCTTCCTGTTGTCGTCAAGGAGTGCTGTAACAAAAAGGCAGTATGTAAACAGGTCATAAAAGTGGATGCCTCCTCTACACTACAAATTTACATGTGTTTTATTGTGGGTCAAGGGAATAGCTGTGCTGCAGCCTGGTCTCTTATTACAAAGGGTTTTGTGTTTGAGTGCTCCCTTGGAAGACAAATCTCCTGCAGGCTCTGCTGGAGGATCAGCTTCCAGCATCACTCCAGGGCTTGGGCTTTCATGGCTCTGCAGTCTCCTGCCTCCTGCTGAGGCTGCATCTCCCTCGAAGATGACCTATGAATGCCAGTCAGTTGGCCAGAGAGACAAGAAAAAAAAAAGGAGGATCAGGGCTGATGGCACACGTGGATATCATAGAATGGCTTGGGCTGAAAGCAACCTTAAAGACCATCCATTTCCACTCTGTGGGCGGGGACACCTCCCGCCAGACCAGGTCACTCAAACATGTAGAAGGATGTGGGGTGACCAGGCATGCCCATCCAGAATAACTTCTTACCTTTCTATAAAACCTCCAAAGACAACATTTTCACCAATCTAACTGCTTGATTCTTCTACCCTTCTAAATTCTTTTCCAGTGTTTTTCTCAGTGGAGTGATGTGGATGGGTAAGTTCTAGATTGACCCAAAATACAGAATGCACCTCAAAAGTCTGACACCTGTTCACTCAGATGCTGTATTTTCCTCCTTTGGTGACACCAACATTTTTCTTCCTTTCTTCCTCTACTTGAGAAGCAACATCAAGAGAAGAAACCCCCTACTGTTCTTGTTTGCAGACTTGAAGATAAGTCTTTTCAAGGGAAAGGCATTTTTCCAAGACAAGAAATAATTGTGCACTTTCTTCATTTTCTCTTGGGCTGATTCCCTAACTGAAAAAACACGGCAACTGAAAAATGCACGTGACTGTTTCCTACGCTTACAGGACAGTTCTAGCTGCTCAACTCACTGAAGCCCTTGGGTAGTGCAGCCAGGATCTCAGTTTTCTCCCATTTATAGCTGTGATGAGGGTTGTAAAGATGCTGAAGCTCAGAGATTAGCACAAATGCTTCAGTGTCCTTGCTTTTCCCCACCTATTTCTTTGTAGCATACAGTTTAACAGCTAAATAATACCTTCTTTGGGAACTGGCTGCCTGCCTTCCAGTTTGCTGGGACGATGCCCAGTACAAAGGGCCTGATTGAGGTTGCTAAGTGCTACATAAATCATGTCAATAATGGCCCACAGTACCACCTAGAATTCTGGTGACACCGCTATTTTTCTGCCGCACAGACAGGTACTGCCTTGGTACAGAGGTGAAATTAGTGGGATTATCCCCAAGGTGTCCATGAGGACAGTCTGCTGAGCAAAAATTACCTACCTTAGGAAGAAAAAAAGCCAATCACATTTCTTTCCTTTCTTAGGAAAAGAAAAAAGAACAAAAAGAAAACCTGAAGAAACCAGCGTTTATTATTTTGCATTTAGAAGCATTGCCACGATGACTAACTTTTTTACATGGAATGTGGCTGACCCCTGGCACAGCCTGATCGGAGAGGCTGTGGGGTCTCCACCCTTGGGGACACACAGAACCCAACTGGATCCAGTCCTGGGCAGCCAGCAGAAGCTGGTCCTGGTGGAGCTGCGCTGGACAATCTCCAAAAGTGCCTTCAGCCTCAGCCATTCTGTGGCTGTTGGAGACTGAAGCCGGGTTCCTAGAACAGGCTTTAGAAGTTGTGCTCCCCCAGATGGCCATTTCCCATGGGATGCTGCAGCTAACAGCACCCCTACAAGCACTCCTGGTGAGGGGCGATGACACTGGTCTGCAGGCACTCCAGGTCTTTGAGAAGCAGGGTATGGCCATGCAAGAAGAGGCACTTGGAGTCATCAAGGTGAGATTTAAAAGGATTCAGGCTTCTAAGGAAAATCTTCTGGAATGTTTTTCCTTTACTTTCTATGTTGTGAGTCAGTTACCATTGTTCACATTTGTTTCCCTTCCTTAGGAAAACAACAAAACCACTGCAGTATTTCTTCCAGCAGTCCTAAGCTGTAAGCAGCAGCCTGCCCACTGCTAGGGAGCAGAGTGGTAGGAAGTGACAGATACACCTTTGCCTCAACACTCCTTTCCTCAGCATCATTAAAAGGAAAAAGAGCTGAAAACATATTCAAAGATATGAGTCACTGCAGCCTCTCTGATCTGAAGAGTCCTGCTGAGAAATCCCATGTGAAGCCCGATGCTGCCTGCACCTTTCCTATGCCTGATACACTGATAGCCAGACTGGCAGAGAAACTCCCTCAGCATTTCTTTCTTATTTTTGGGGTTGCTGCTGTAAAATCAGCACCAAGTTAGTACCAGTGGTGTGCAGGGATGACAAGGGCTGGACCATTCTTTGGCCTCTCGGACCTCTCCTCATGCAGAAGTGGAAACAGCACTCACATTTTTCCTCCTTTTCTCTCACAGAATCTGTCCTTGCTGAGATGAGCTCTGTGGCATCTGTTGTAAATTCTCATTCCCACCACACTGTTCCCTTGCTGTAATTTACTAACAGCCACAGAGACTACATTTCTATTATGGTGCTTTGTTCTTGGGATGTTTTGATGAAAAGCAAAAATGAATATTTGAAGGAAAAACTGAAGCTCTCATCTTTCTGACATCTGATACTCTTCTGATATTTGGTGATCCTCTGATGATCTATTTTAATCCTTGTCCTAATAATGAGAGCCAAGAGGACCCTGCTCTTTACTCTGCCCCTTGCATACAAAAGTTTTCTTAGTTCTGGTCAATGATTGTCCCTTTTTTAGTTTCTGTTGTAATATAAAATCAAGAAAACTCACCTTTACTCCCGCACATCAAGAAACCTGAAATTTGCTATTGCTGTTGGTTTTACTCTCAAACACAAAGAAGGGCAACAAATTTCAGAATGTTCTGCAGAAAAGGTTCCTTAAATGGCTTCATCTACTCAGAAATGTTTGTATGAGTGCAGACAGATCTGTTAAATGCAGTTAACAAATTACCAGATGTCATCAAATGACTGTACTGGAGCACATTTCTGCAAAGGGCAGATCCCCTCCCTTTTATAATGGATTGCAATGTACCTCAGAGTTATTAAACGAGAACCCTCTCACCCAGCAGAGGCTGTTAAGAGTGATACCTGAGAAAACAGGCACGTAGCTTATGGTTATTTGGTAGCAAGCTTTGCCTATGTAGTAAAACAGACCAGAAGTGTGATGAGTCACGGTGAGACGTCGGTGATGCTTCCTCATGTGTAAAAACTGGTAGTCATGTTTTGGACTGGGAAGAATTTTTCTCCAGCATGTTGTGTGACATGTGATGATGAGGTAACACTTGCTTTCTTCTGAAGTAATGAAGAAAACAGTTTCCTAGAATAAGGTAGACTAATCTGAGCTGATTTTTTTCCAAAGGTGGAGGGCCAAAGAGCTGGTTTCAGGACTCTGGTTAATCCCATATCAATAACAGTGTCCCATCCCCAATCCCACATGCTCTGCTGTGTTTTATTTGGTTGTTCCTGTAAGACAATCATTTAAATGGCTTAAATGAATCTAAATTTAGATTCATGGTTACATATCAGCCCATGAAAATCTGCTAAAATTGAAGATGTCCCCCTCCTCCATTATATTTAAAGGAATGCTACAGCTCACTCCCACACACAGGTGCACTACGTTCAAAGTGACCACAGCTTTAGAAGAAACTAAAGACAGGCATCCTAACCCTGTGACTGCTCCTTATCATTGCTTGTAGTAACACATTACCTGGGACTTCCGTTCAGGAATCTCCTTACAGTAAACTCTGCTTTGCTTTTCTTTGCAGGCGTTTCCATTTACAATTTTAGAAAACACCAGCAACAGCTGCAATTTCTTGTGCTACCTCTACTGAAGCTGCAATTACTTCTCAGGACTGTGGGAGCATCAGTCAGAGATGCTTATACACCAAGTATAGAGCAGGACCATAGATCAGAGCAGTCTGCAGGGAACATATACTGAATTTCTAAAGAAAAGAAAATCTTATTCATGAGGCAAGCAGAGCAGCAGAGAGACACAAGACTGCAAGAAGAATGGCTGTCAGGAGGTTAAATATTGCTGTTGTTACTCTGAGAGTGCCTGAAGCCAGTGGGGGTTTAACCTGGGTCTGAAACCACAAGTACAATATTTAGAGATGCTTAGCACCAACAGACAGCATTGATTTCCACTGGAATTCTGGAAGCTCAGTACTTAGCAAAAATCAGACTCTGTGTTTTATCAGGGTTTTATTGCTGCAAATAAATATGTGGGTACTTAAAAAAGCTATTTAATGTGACTTTTATCTGCTCTTCAGAAGATAGCTACCTGCTTTGGCATCTCTCCATTCTACGCTCTTGAAAATAGGTCCTAACAAATGCAAAAAGGAGAAATTATATTTTTGATAGATCAATACCCTCTAAAAGTTTACAAGAGTATATCTCGTACTGTAATCTGCTACAATTACGCTACAGTCAGCTTTCCCATAAAGAGACATGGTTTAAGAGAAGTGTATACTATCACAACCATCCTCCATATCCTCAGTCCTAGAACTGTCCAACAGAGGCTACAACCAGGCTCACCTCATCCCATGCTTTTATTAGCAAGTCAAAACATTAACACAACATAAACTTCAGCACAAGCATCCTCTACAAGTTTCATAGCTACTGGGATTTGCTTCTTCTTCCACAAATCCTTTCCATAAGCAACAGCCGCCTGAGTGATTGCAGGAGCTAGGTGAGAACCAATGCAGATGTATGAGAAACCTCTTCCTCCTACATCACCCATTGCCAGCTGTCAGGAGGTTTGTGTGACCTTCTCTATCTCTACAGATAACCCACGTAGCAGAAAGGTACTAGAGCATGGATCATCCTCCAAAATGTTTACGGACTGGGAATAACATGTAAAATCATGCAGAAGATCAGACCAAGTCATGAAAGTTTTAAGAATGGTGGGCACATCAAAACAGAAGTATTGCCATGAGTCTCCTCCAGCACGGACAAAACCTTTTTGTGAACCTTTGTGCCATGTATACAAGTCTATGCTCAACAGAACAGTAAGTATCGCAAACTCTCCTCTATGTGCAGAGATACAGCTGAGCAAGAGTGTGCTTTGCGCAGCTGTAATCAATCATGACCCACATTCCTTCCAAATGAGAGTCTCCAAGTTCAATTATAGTCCTGCAGTTACTGTGTCTGCACCTCCACATTTCAGCATTTCCTGAAAATGATTGAAAAAATAATATTAAAAAGCATGCAATTAATGAAAAAGTCAGGAATATGTGAAAGCTGCTTTATCATCAATGTAAAACACAGGAGCCCAGGAGTGCAATGTGCAAATGCAGACATCGTGCATTGAATCTGTAAACCAACCAGGTACATTTGAAAGTGGTATGGCATGCCACAAGCTACATGTCAGACTTCATTCTTGCAAGGCACTCAAAATACTGCTATGTGTATATTAATAACAAATTGGGCAATTTACAGCAATTTCACTGTAAAAGGAAGATGTGTGACTGTCACTGAAAGGAAGACTAGCATCTTTCCCCACAGCTCCCAGCAGGCAGGAACAGACCAGCAACACAGCCCAAGGCTGCTGACACCTTTCTGCTGCAACCAGCAGATCACATTACCGCAGCCCTGAGTCGTCGAGCATTGGAGGTCACAGCTGCAGGGACAGGGACAGCCTCTCCTAGGGCAGGGGATGAGGAGAACACGGCTTGCACAGTGCAGCAAACAGCACTCAGAGGGAGCTGGCTGCTCTCCAGGAACAGAGCAGGGTGAAAATGAAGGATGAAAGAACTGACCATAAACTGTTTCAAAATGTTCACCAATAGGTTCACAAATGCTGGACGTGAGATATAGAAAACTTTACCTGAAAGTGGTGTGAGATGGAGGGAGAAGAGAGGAGAAATTAAGAAGTCTGTATCTTAGAATCATATCATAGAATCATAGAATGGCCTGGGTTGAAAAGGACCACAATGATCATCTGGTTTCAACCCCCCCTGCTATGT